GTCAGGCTATTTACTCTTGTAGTGCTACCATGAGAGTGGCAGTAGGGAACTGGAGTCAGCATCTCTACAGGAGCAGCAGAAGMAAAAAAATCCACTACTGTTAATTAAAAAAAAAAGGCACTGGAATAGTAATAAGAAAGCTCATTAAAAATTAAACTAAACTGTACAGCCAAAAGGGTTAAATGCTTGCCTGAGACACAAAGATTATTTAGATTTGATTTTATTTCGATTGGAAATTGAGTTATGAGAAATTTCTTGTTTCATGAGAAAATAAGTAACTTTCTAAATGCATAAATGCTAATCATATACTGACTTCCAAAGACATCATAAGCAGAAAGCCTGACAGAGAGTGTGTAACGCCAAGAAATTTTGAAAATATTAAAGGGGCATTCAAAAGAGATGATTGAAGTTAAGGGCTACTTGGCCCACTACTGTCTATGGTTTATTTCTGCTGTTGGGAATAACTTCCAAATTTAACAACCTCATTCAATCCATTATCCTATGAAATTCCRTCCCACATCACAAGGTCACATATTTTGAAGTTGCATTAAGGTGCCAGAATAAGCAGAAAATGAAGGAGACAGTCAGGACAAAGACCAGGAAAGCAGCTGTAAAATTCTGGAGCTCCAGAGGAATGTGAAACCAGGGCTATAAGTGCAGGCTGGAAGATGGCTGCAGGCTGGAAGATGGCTTCAGGCTGGAGAGAGGTGTGACAAAAAAAAAAAAAACCTCTCTCCAGCTGTCTAACTTAACATGGTCGGGGGTGCATTTTGTGGGAGCAAACAGGGCTGCTCTCCAGAACTCCCAATCTCCTCTTAAGGRAAAGGCTGTGTTGAAACTGGCAACCAGCTCAGGACAAAGGAAACCCATGGATTCCAAGGTAAGGAATGTCTGGGCAGTATTGAATCACAGCTGAATGAATAATTAATAAACTCATAGAAAGTGAAAATTACCTTGAGAAATTAAAATAAGACCAGAGGGATTTTGAAGCTAAAATCTGGAAACTGGAGGCAGTGTTTGAGCTGAATAACTGCGAGGGATTTCGTCATGGTTAATGCATTAGGGCCAGTGCCAGAATCTTTTTGTAGAAATTCCTTTTAGGATATGGTGCAAATTATTTGCAGCAAGCAGGTCATGCCATTCCAGAGGACAGCTAGCAGAAGAATAATTTTCTGCTGTGACTGTTTCCAGTGGCAAATGGCTGGAGGCTGCAATAGCAGCTAAAACTCCTTGATTTAAACYCCTCCAGCTCCCCTGCACCCAAAGCCAAGGCTGATCCTTGCTCATTTGAGGGGCACATTTGCAGGCAGCTGATAGTGAGGACAGGGAACAGCACAGCAGAGCTAGAGACAGCTCCTATAGATAGAGGCTAAAGCCAGGAGGAAAACAGGTGAATGGCAGCTCCCAGAGTTTCARTTGGATTTGTTGTGATTCAGCCCTGGTCCCTAAGTGAGGAGGAGCAGAAAGGGCTGTGARATTTTCTGGAGGGGAACCAGGAGAAGAGAGACTTTATGGCACGGATCCTACTCAAGACACTGCTACTAGGAGAGAAAGATCTCTTCTTTGCGAAAGAGGCTTTAGTGCACTTGGAAGAAATATGTCAGAAAGGTGTAAGTGAGCTTCACCCACAGTGCTTGGGAAGAAGAGGGATGTTGGCACTGGTTCAGTGGGGATGACAGAACCAGAGAAAATCACTTATAGCAGCCCTGCAGATAAATGATATGTTGCAAACTGTAGAAGTCTCAGTTTTCTTTTTCAAATGACTCTTAAACCTTGGTGTTGACATATAAGGACAGATCCAAACAACAGAGTACAAATGCTAGTTTTAAAAAAAGATTGGTAAGGCCTGTGGCAATTTATAGTCATGAAGTTTTAGTTTGTCAATGACCCCAGAATATCTAGGAAACACAAGAAGAGGATATTTATCACATGCTGTGTTTGTTTTGAGGCAAGGCAGAACCTTTGAATGAAAGGTGAATATTTGCACGTGGTTGTGCTAAAATATTTGGAGTGGAAATCAGAAAATTAGAAAAATGAAGGAAGTTCCTGAAAATTCTAGCTCCTCCCATAAAGGGAAATTTTAACTGACAACAGSGAAACAGAGATTGTGAAGGTCAAGCTGACCCTCCAGATATGCAGAATTCTGCACATTTTTTAGGTCACGCTCATAGAATGAGAAATATTGCAGTACCTTGCCTTAAGTTAGGTGGGAAAATGAAATCATACCATCAGTCAGCAGAGGATGATTTACCTTTTTTGGATCTGTCAAGAACTTGTTTTACATATCTAAAGCTGGTTTTGCTTTGGATACATATGCTAGTGCCAGTACCAAGGGGATGTTACAGACACCAACACATGGACGGTTTGGGGAATGGCTCATGTTAGCAGAAAGCTAAAAGTTCTCCTGAGGTAAACTATTGCATCACTTAGGAGGAGCTGCTAACTGGGATTGCATACCTGGGATGTTTCCTCGCTGTTTATGGGGAAGGGTTTATATTTAGGACAGAGCATGGTCTGTCTCAGGCATTCTGAAGGGAATGGTCAGGTGGTTAGAAGAGCTGGGGTTGCCTGAGCACAGATCTGATCCCAGATCTGATCACGGTTGTCTGATCTCTCCTTCACGGAGGAGCCTGGGCCAAGCACAGCCAGGCKGATGGCTTGCCCAGATGCTCTTGATAGTACATTAATTGCCAGCAGTGTTAAGCAAGGGAGAAAGAAAACTGTTGCTCAGGGCAATGAGTGTATCAAAAAAGACATCTGTTTCACATCCCCCTCTAATTTGCAGAAGTGCTGTCATTCCTAAACCAACTGCTGAGGTAGTGGAYTTAGGACAGAAAAACTGGGCTCCAGAGCAGCTGACAGCCACATTTGATTGTAGTGCAGAGTAAGCCTGGGAGGTCACTTGGCTCATAAAGTCCTCTCAGCTCAATACTCCTCATACAATCTTTGTTATAAGAATCTTGTTCTTCAGATATTGAATTACATGAAGGATCTGAGAAAACGAGCATGTTTTGGGGTGTGATACTCACCAGTTGTACTGGACTCTTTCAATGGGGGTTTGTCAAGACAGTAAAGCATCTAAAGATTATAAAAAACCCTTCCTCAAACTAAGAAGATTCTTTTTTTTTGGCTGGAAGACAGGGGAATTTAGAAAACTGGTGCAGGAGATGTGCTACTCACATTGAAGGCAAGGGCTCTGCTTGTGTGGGGTCATGGCAGCCCATGTGCTCACGTCTCCCCCACATACTGGTTGTAGATTAAGAACATTTATATTTTTTACAAAGCTTAGCTGAGATGGAAACAAGAAGCCGTGTGAGTAAAAATTGTATTCAGATTTCTTTCTTAGCAGATTTGGGGTCCAGAGAGGGATTAAGGAAGAAGTTTTGAATTCAGACAGACTTATCAGGCTTTTTGAGAATCCAGAAACCCATACCTCATCTATTTTTGCCTGCAGCTCAGTGTACTCAGTGAGCTTAAAGCCAAAATTATTAATATGATATTGTCAGTGACACCACTGTATAATGGAGACTGAGCAGTTCAAGTACTGCTGCTAAATCCCTTCCCTGTTGTGTCTATGATGTCTGGGCTCCTTCCAAAACTAGGGATTAACTAAACACGTCACTGCTAATAAATGTTGGGGTGATCATCTCTTGTTATACACATGAATTATTATCCTGTTCCTTCTCCCTTACTTGTATCATTTGATAYGGAAGAAAAATCTTGTGTAAAATTTTCATTAATTATGTTCATTAATTTTGGTCYCTAGTTCCCAGCTCCAAAGGCAGCAACACATCTCTCCATCTAGGTAGCTCAAAATAGAGCAAAAGCTGAGAATAAAAAAAACAAAAACTTGTCCCAGCTTTTTCTTGTGTTTGGTCCTAATCTAAGCACTCTGACAGACCTTGTGGATGTGGAGMAATGGAACAGTGATCATTTGGACTGAAAGAGRGTMGATTTAGATTGGACATTATGAAAAAAATTCTKTCCWGTGARGGTGATGAGGCACAGGCACAGGTTGCCCAGAGAAGCTGTGGATGTCCCATCCCTGAAAATGTTCAAGGCCAGAAGGACAGGACTTTGAGTAATCTGGTATAGCAGAATTTGTCCCTGCCCATGACAAGAAGGTTGAACTAACTGATCTTTAAGGTCCCCCAAACCATTCTATGATTCTTTGTCAAAAATTTAAAAAAGTATGTATTTTTGCTAACAGAAAAATTGAAGCCAGCTCCCAACACAATGAGAAGCAATGCAGCTGTGCAGGGAAACCCTTGTCTGAGGGAAGCTGGTCCTGTGCCATGAGCCTAGTACATAAAGTAGGAGTRTAAGAGTGTCTCTGAGGAGGAGCAGAATCAGAGCAACACAGCACAAAATCAAGGGTATCTGGAGAAGATTTTATTTGGGTAATGCTCAAGGGAAAGAAGTGCAGTTTTGAGTAGCATATTAATAAGTCTGAAATATTTCTAACAATTCAGATCAGTTAATCCAGCCATATGCTACCTCTATTTATTTGTTGTTCCAGTGTGTCAGACTTGAGGCATCTGCAGAATAAATACCCAAGAAATGTCAGCTATTAGTCAGAAAGTTTTATTCTGTTGGAACTGSCTTCCAATTAATCAAAGCAATGCCTGAGTTACAACAAAAATTATTATCTAGAGTAGCTGAAAGGGAGAGACCCAGCACTTGCTAGGAGCCCAAGGAGTCTCTAACTAAGACTGATTGACTGATTGACAGGGCAGGTAGGATGAGCTGTTAGATGCCCAGTCCTGGGTTCGGTCTTCTGTCTACAGGACATGCTGAAGGAACACCTTCACCCCTGTAAGGTGAATATGGAGCTACCATACTGTGTGTGGATGGGGCAGTTTAAGACAACCCAGCTGATTTATCTTCGAATTCAACCTTATGCCATTATCAGAGCAGCACTTTCCAAGGAGAGAGTAAAAATGAACATGTTGGGGTGGGCCATGATCAAGCAGTTCCAGCAGGCCATCTAGTGAGTTCTGTTTGGCTTTTTAATTGCTCCAGATTCATTCACATCCCTCTTTGTACCATTTCAGGCCTAATAAGTTTTCCATGAGGAGCAGCACTGCCAGTGACTACTCGAGTCTGAGTGATTCTCAGCTGCTCTTCGGCTCCCAGTTCTGCCCAGAGAACGTGCAGTCRGCAGCAGCACCGCTGGAGCTGGGCACACAGCTGGGACAGCAGAACTCCCAGGACGTGAGTCTCGCTCTCAGTCAGCCCTCTTTAGGCACACAGCCACCATGCAAAGTTAATGGAAAATGCTGAAATCAGCTGGTAATATTTGTGAATGTCAGTAATTTCTGAAATCAAGTTATCTTCTTGATACATACACATACTTATTGTGACAAGACAAAGTAGCAGCCTGGTCATGTGAAAACCTGGTATTTTTAACAGATTACTATAAATTATGATTGAGATAGGTATCATTTTCTTYAATCACATTTTTAAAGTTACTAAAATAATATGAAATTATTCTCAAGTTAATGTCTTTAGACCACCTGCCTAGCCRAGGTAGAATATTACATCTATTCTTCTTTCCAAAATGTTGTGTTTCACTTCCTTCGCTTTTCTCAAGAATGACAGAGCTACTCGGTGTTTGCTTCCCTGCACTGACAATGACCTTGCTGCATTGTTGTTATGGCAGGTGCTTGGATGATTTTGGATGGGGATGAAGAGTTTCTATGCAMAAAATGTTTCTGCTACAGCTCATAGTTTCTGATGTTATGACTCTCCACTAAAATAGTTCCTGCATTGCTAAGAGAGAGCACCAGATCTGAATAAACACACCTGGAGCAAAGATTAGGAAAGAGCAGGAGTGTCAGTTTGGAGGCCCCAGGCTGTCCTTCAGTTCCAGATGCTATCTGCTGTCCTATGCATTTTGCCTAGGAGCAGTTTCATTAAGACACAAAATAGGAAATTCACTCTTCACGATGAAAAAAAAAAAGAATGGAATTTGCATTTTCTTATGTTTTAAGGAAAAGGCATTTCCATTTTGGTCACACAGTGTCTGGAAATTTTGTAGAATGAAGCTTTCATATTAATATTAGATTTCTTGTTCTAAAATGTGTATTGAAGCATGTGAAAAACTCATCTACAGTCTGTTGATGTTGCTAGTTGGCAGCAAAATGATGTCATCCACCAAGAAATTCAATAGGATATTTTTTTAGATTCCTGTAAGGGGAGCTTCTACTGACAACTTGAACTTTTCCACAATGCCAGGAACACTGGRATGCATTTATAGTCTCTGTCTTGAACATAGAAGGGAAAAAAATCTGCACCTTATGACTGTAGCAAACTGAAAATCCTCAAGATGAGAGAAAAGCCTGTCTGGAGGAATTTGGGCTGGGTCTCAGTTCCACAGGGAGTTGATCTAACTGGGCACACTAAATGAGGCATAATCTCATGAAATTCTTAATCTCCTCGTCCAATCTAATCTGTCATGTTCAATCACTGTGATCTCTGCCTGCAAAGCACTGGATTAACAAATGGTTTCTTCTAATTAATGTTCTGATTATTTTTGTACTTCAACATTTTTCTTTTGTTTGTGTCACAGAGTGAGCCCAATATTTTTACCAAATACCAGACAAAACCACAGTTATTTGATGAAGAAATAAGAGAAAAAGGTTCACTTAATTTTGGTGCAGGAAGGGTGAAAAGTGTCTTGGAAAGTTTTGAAGTGAATAAGAACAAAATAAAGGACAAATATGAGCGGTATGTAGACATCCATTGGAAATTCTTTCCGTGCTGGTGGTTATCACTCCCTGCAGCTCYTTCTTCCCCTCTTACAAATCACACATGACATAGCTGCGTATTTCTCCAAGAAGTGTATCTTTTCAGGTTTTAAATAATTCCTAATTTGAAAGAGTCACAAGGTAAGAGAATAGGTTTTATTTGCAATTTATGTAACACACTCAGCCATAAGCCCCATGGAACAGCAAAACTCTAACCTGAATTTACCTTTGTCCTTCTTTATCTAATCAGCATTGTTTCTTCTTTCTGTATTAATTCTCTATGAAAGCCCTTGTTTCTCAAAATTTTATCGACCATGTAGGGACTCTGATAAAAGGGACTCTGAGGATRGCCTTCACACTTGGGCCAGATGAGGGGATTGCCAAACATACCTGCATGCAGATTGCATCTTTATAAACCTGCACATGTCCTTAGAATTTTATTTCTTTACAAGATTGTTATATATTGTTTTTCTGTAACAGACAAGCGTTATTCACTAATGTAATTTGCATCTGCTCTTTGTCAGATGTCAAGWATTATTCAAACCTGTAGGTCCTGAAGGACTTTAAGGAACAAGCCAGTGATTTGRAGCTCAAAAATTAAATATGGCAAACACCCCAGTGCACCTATAAATAATTCTTAGCACTGTACATTTTGTAATGTAGCATCCAAAGTGAAGTGTGTTTTTATTAAAAGCYTTTGATCAAATTAGGCTATGTATCTCTCTTGCCTTTTCAATAAGCACTATGCTTCTGATAAGGCAAAATTTGATTCTCTATTGCCTGTTAGAGGAGGATTTTTGTAATGAAATGAAAAARTAGTTTTAAATGTTTATGCATCACTCATAATTATTCTTTATTTTTTCTTTAAATGGATTATGCTCCTTCCTACACTCCAGACTTGCTCCCAGATTAGAAGCCTGTTTATAGAAATAGCTATATTATCTTTGCAAGGATAAGTGTATAATTTATCAATTTGTATCCCCCGCAAGTTTGACTAAGAAAATGAATATCTTCCTTTCCATAAGGCTTGACAGATTTTAGAAGCAYTCCCTAATTCTCATAACTAGATTCTACCTGGCCTCTGAGGTTTTTTGGCTGTTATAATTTAGATCACTCAAATGATTGACTTTAAATGACCTGAATCYTCAGAGAGGAAAAGGTTACCACTTTGCTTAGCAACCACCCGTGCATTTTGGTGTGGCAGGTTAATCACGAATATAGTCTGGTTCCTGATAGGCTGGCTCAACTTGAAAGGACAGATAACAGAAACCACAGGCATAATCTCAGGAGAAAAGGATTTGCAATATTTGTTCTTCCTGGCTTGGGCTTTGTTGACGCTKAAGCTTTTCCCATGTTTTTCCCACAGTTATTTTAGTCCAAACACAATATCCATGTATCGCAGCAACTGGCACGTCACCACACAGGCTGGGTCCTTCCGGAGCAGATAACACAGTGATCACACCCCGGTAGCTAATGGACAGTTGTACAAATGACAACTAAAAATTTGAGAGAGAGGCCAAAAACCTGAAAGTAAAAACCCCCATAACTTCATGTACATGACATACATGGACATATATATATGTATATATATGTATATATATGTGTATATATATATATGTATCTATATATATATTTGTGTATATGTATCGTTTTCTTGCTTTGCATTGCAGAGTCCATGTTTTCCTAAAACAACTGAGGTGACTTCAAAGGGTTATACCCCCCTGCAGTCATGATATTTCCGTGCTTACATTACACACTACACTTGTGCCTTGCAGTGTTTCCTGTCTCTTTTTTACAGTGATCTTTTCAATTTTTGTACACTTCAGTAACTTACATTTCTTGTTTATACTTGTTGGTTTTTTTTTTCCATTTTAGTGAAGTCCTAGGCTCCTTTATTTCCAGCATCAAAGACAGGCTTCAAGAGGTAAGTTACTTTAAATTCAGAATGTAAAATAGTGAAGAGATAGAAATACTACAGGACATTCAGTGTTCACTTTCTCTACTATGCTGATATCTAAAATATTACCTTGTGTATCTTAAGCACTCAAATACTTTAAACCAACAAGGTTGTAAGGTATTTTTTCATAGACCATTGTCTTTCTGGCCTTAGGGTTAAGGTCTTTAGGGACTTGCCTCAGAGCCAGCAGTGGAATTTCTSTGGGTCTTTGGAGCAAAAACAAGCTGTAGTGGCTGTCTGAAAATATCAGTTCTTTTTTCCTTCTCCCTGAAGAAARCAGTCTACTCTCAGGATTAGTTAATGTGGTCTGAAGGTGAAGGTCTCTCCCCCCACACTTCCACAATTAATTTTATTAGTTATTATTAATCATATATAACCGATTAACAGATCTTTTTTTGAATCTGTTCACAATTAATGAGCCTTTTAAACCTTTCCACATCTCCCTTGGGGCTGTAACCAACAACTGGACAAATTGTTTCAAGCAACACATAAACAACCATTTTCGGGCTGTTCCATTCCGTGAGTTGCAGTCATTGTTCTTTGGCATCTGAGGCTGTGATTTTGCGAACAAAGAGAAGGCAATGTTTTAATTTTCCCATTTACCTTTGTTTTTACAGCTGCAAGCATGCTTTGAGAAGCTTGAAGAAATGTTTGATTCCAAGCACAAATCCATATTGGTTTGCCTAGAAACCCTTTCCAAGACATGTAAGTCCTTCCTGTGTTCCTATTAACAGCAGAGGGCACAGTCAAACTGCTGAATGTCAGCATCTTGTCTCTAGGCTGCAGTGAACTGGGCAAGTCATGCCACTCACAGCTGCTCTCCCTAAGGGAGGAAAGAAAATAAGACTTATCCATGGTATGGACTTGCCAGTTTTCCCATTCCTACTCTCTCATTTTCTCCCTTKCTCTGCTCCTTTGCACTCAGGTGATGCATGGTTAGACACCATGCTCAAATGGATAAACACACCTCTGGTTTTGTGTTTTGCCTGGAGTATGATCATTTTTAGACTATCTGGAGCACTAATGGAMTACACAGTAAAAATAACTTAGATATTTATATCCTGAGTATCCAGTTTCAGTTTTTAGGGCTTTCTCAGATTTTCATGTGTTAGTTTGAAGTCTTCCATTGCTCCTCTGTGCTTGAAGTGATTATGTTTTGGATGTGAGCAARACTAGTACTGCTCACTTCTTGAATGAAAATCAGATAGTGAAGCACACTATTGCCRTGATAAAAAGGTGACCTCCAGAAAAGCTAATAATGTAAAATGCTTCCGAACAATTCTGTCTCTGAAGTGGCTAATCACAAAAATCTTTACTGAGGGAAAATCCTTCAAGAAATTGTTTCTAATTTAGCTTAGAGTTGAGCCTTTGAGAGTACATTAATTTTTAATGCTGGTGTGATGCTTTATCAACACCCTGTCAGGACTGCTCAGAACAAGAAGCCATTTTCAATATACACAAGAAACATGAACTGAGTTGCACCTTGTGAGACGAAGGCAGCAGACCTTCACAAAAGCACAGTAATAGTCACTGTGTGACAAAATGTGGCTTCCACAAGGCACATCTTTGACAGATACCCTTTAAGTCAACACAGCTCTCTSAGGCAAAAAGAGTGGATTCTGCAGGAGGCCATGATAGTCTGCACATTTGAAATACCAGTCTTGTACTAAGAACACTCCTTTGCTGTGTTTGGCAAGTGCTCTTGATAGGACCCTAATGTAAGCAAGAATCTGTCTGCTTTGGACAGCACAGCAAGTTCCCTATTGCACATTTTCCCATCTGCTAATTACTTCAGTGCCTCAACTTGTCCATTCTGCAGCAGGACTTTGCCTAATTTCACATACCTCATGCACAGAAATTGTTGTCATGGCACTGAAAATCAAATCTATTGTTCATTACTCCCCCTCTTCATTCCATACCATTTACTCAGCTGTCCTGTTTCCTCTCCATACCCATTTAAAATGAATGTGCCTTGAATGAAATGAGAAACCTCCCAGAGGTGCATGCTGCTAGATTTTCAAAGCAATTGAAAAGAAAAATTGGCACTTTCTGTAATGCATCATGCTGCAGAATGTTGAATATATAATGAAAATCATCACATGCTGCACAATGTTGTTCTTTTTATATTTCTGGGAGGTTCATCTGTCACTGGTTAATTGCAGATAAACACTGTCATTTGACTGATACCACAGTGATGGATAATTAAGTTCCCACTAAATAGATACCTATATTAGTGCCTTGAAAAGAGGCAATTCCCTTGAAAAATTTGTATAAAATTCCAAAACTCAGGTGATAAAGAGCTAAATTCAGAGCTAATAAAGTTCTGAATGCCAGTGAGTGATGATACAGTACCTTGGGATGTTGGTGACATGGCAGAGACATGTTAAATCATTGGCAGTGGACGATTTCACAGGTAGGAGAGGAATGCAGATGAGGAAGAGAACTAGTGCACCAGGACACTCCAACAGCTCTGAAAAGCAAAGGAAGGTGGAACTTGAAATCAAGTCTGTCTTCATCTAAAGCTTATAAGGAATATCATAAACTGCATTTTTAGCAGTGGGTAGCAGGCACATTTGGCATAGTCTGCATAGCCACCAGGCAAGAACAAAACAAAATATTTTTCAAAATGTATTTCCAAAGGATTTCCAGATGCTGTTGGGCTGGCACGCTCTGTGCAGGAAGATTTTTTAAAATGTTCTCATTTGAGTGTTTGCCCATATGTGCTTGCACACAGTGAATAAAGCTGTGTCTGGCACTGGGCATGAGACAATGTTTGGCTGAGCAGCTTCCACAGAGGTGGAAGCTGAGTGCCTTGCTCATATCTTGATGTGCAGTGCACAAGGATGTAAGGAGCAGGCAGACTCTGTGGCCTCAGTTCTTCCACCTTATATACAACTTCTTCGGTTGGCTTGCCCACTCATCATTTGCTCTTTTCTTCTGGTTTCCACTCCTGTAGCTCATTTCTTTCCATATTTTCCACATTTTAATTTATATACCTGCACTTCTATCACAGTTTTCTATTTTTTATATGAATCCCAGTTTTCACCACTCAGCCCTCTCTGCACTGCTTTGCTGRTCTGGTATCTGGTAGTTCCTGCTGTGACAGCTCCTAACAGCCGAATCTTCCACAACACCTTGGGTGCAGTGCACATGAGCAGCATCCTCCCAGGCAGSGTGCCACAGGCAATCCTCTGACACACTGCCAGCAAGGGTCACAAAGTACTGTGCAATATGTCACTTACAGAGGTATGAGGTGATGCAGTTCTCTAACAAGATCCACTACCTGATGGGCAGTTTTCAAACATGACATGTTTCCAGACTCCCCAGGCCCAGCAGTTGCTGGCAAAGTTTCCAGGGGAAAATGTGTTTAAAATGGGGGGATTTGAGCTTGTTTACTTTGAACAGTACGGTCCAGACGGACACCCAGTTCAAACTCCCTTATGTCTTGTAGGGATTGAAAAGTCAAAAGTTTGAAACTTATTAAAAAAATTATTTTCCATGTAGCTGCTAACTAGCCATGCAGTGACTGACAAAGCTATTGAGGTGAGGGACTTAACCATACTCAAAAACACCTCAGCACGGCTGGTGAGAGGAAGTGTGAATGTTCCAGTAGATACTGAAAGCCCTCATTGTCACAGTTCAGGGCTTGGAGCACTGTGTGCTATAGCACAGGGTGAGATCAGGAGCAGTTTATCCCACAGTGCCCCACTGCAGGTCTGATGACTTGCGGAACAGGACGTGGCCTAAGCCAGCACAAACCTGACAGCTAACTGCTTGGAATATATCTGAGCAGGATGCAGCCATRAGAGCCCAATTGTCTCACCCTCTGGCACAGCTCTGTGGCTGCCCAGAGAGAACATGCAGCGCTCTGCTGAGCTCCAGAGCTGTCTTCCCTGCCCGTGTCTCACCATGTTTATAACACCTCCAATTTCCCCCACCGAATTTGGGCGTGGGGGAACCAACCTCCTTCCAAAGTGTTATTTAAAGCCTCAGTGCTGTTAGTGCCAATCTCAGGATGAGCTGCATAGATGATGATAGATAGACATCAGAAGCAGTTGCTGTTTAATATTCCTAGGCTGGGARGCTGCTGCTCCCTCCCTTGACTGCTCAGGCTGTAGTTTTCTGCTGCCAGGAGTGCAGCTGCACCGGGGTACAGGGAACTCTCTGCAACACAGGGTTGCAGCCTTACCCCAAGGTCCTTCAGCCTTTTATCTCATGCTAGATTTCATATTTGAAATGTTATTTTTRTAAACCAGTAGCATCCAAAGACGAGGCTACAGCAAATCAAAACATAGCAATGTTTCAGTTTGTGAAAAACTGCTTTGTTTAAATTWCCTCAAGAGAGGCACAAGTCTGTGCATAAGTCACCCATTAACTGAGTAAAGATTTTCTGTCTGTGATCAAGTTATTCAATAACTATCTGCTGCAGGATTTATTTGAAGAAAATCTCTGAAGCAGCCCTTCTTGATCATATTTAAAGACAAGAGACCTGACTTAACAGGGTCCTTGATCTGATCTAGTTTGGCCATCCCAACACYTATTTTTTTTGTAAGTCTCAACGCTCATTTTTACTTTGTTTATTATTGTTTGACAAGTCTGAACACTCCTCTGGATATGGAAAGAGGGAGGGAAGGGGAGTGCCCCTCCTCTGTRCTGAGGGCTTTTTCTGCAGAATACTCCTACACGTACAGATGAAACACATTCAAAAGGCTGGCTGCTGGTTGCTTGCCTGCAGCATGCTGTGCTGAGTCAAATGTATGTGCAGATCACAAGCCCAGTGGATGCAGGACTATTTTTAGACTGAGGATACTATGCTGAAGAAGAACAGACAGACTAGGGAAACCAGAAAGTTTTAAAAATAATTCTGAGCTAAAATAAAGCATATGGGGAAGAGCAGCAAGCTGAGGTAAGTCTGYGAATGCTGCCCTTCCTGTATCTTCACTATGTAGAGATGGAAGGTGATAAAGTGACATGAAAGGAGTTTCTTCCTTTAGTCACTGCTGCTTTTCTTCTCTTTGGTTGGCAGGCTCCCCAAAAACCTGCACTCAGATTGCAGGTAGCCCTTGTGTCTAACCAGGGAGATGAAAGTCTCAAAGGCCCACTCAAACACTCCCCCATTCCAAACCCATTCAGCAAGTCATAGCTTTCCAGGTTTCTAAAACAATCTCAATCTGTCTGAGCAAAACACTAAAAGATCAAAAACAATAACCAAATTGTCTGCAACAGCATATTGTTTGAAATATGTGCAGATAATCCTCAGACATCAGCCAACTTCCTACAGAGAACAGGGCAAAGCCATGTGGTGGTGTGCATCCTAAAATAAGGAAGAAATACCCCTCAAGCTCAAGTCTGGGAGATTGTTTTCATTCCGTGTGTGTGAGGAAGATGCATGGTTGAGGCAACTGCAGGGCTCCTTCTCCCAGATGACAGCTGTGCACACTGTGCCCAAGCAGGGCTCCTTCATAGGAGGTCAAGTTAAAAACACAGCGGGGCACTGGTGCCAGGAGGCGCCATTCCCCATGTCCATCCCTGAGCAGCATCTYCAGCCCTGTGCCACCCCACACCTCTGCTTTGCGTGGCTGAATGAGACAAACACTTTCAAGCTCCTTTCATAAGAGGAGATTACTATGTAAGCACTTAATTAACTTGAASCTTTTCTCTGCCCATGTCTCAGTTCAGTCTCTCTTTCCTTGCACACAGACAGCTGGGAAGGTGTGTGGGCTTCCAGACATCCTGGGGTGCACAGCAGTTCTGTCAGCCAGAGCTGGTGCACCACCACACACCACACTGCCCTGTCTCACCTGTAGCCWCTGGTGCTGCTATTTGCATCCTTGTGACACTTCTCATTAACTGAATGCCCTTTGGCTTCTGCACCCAGGTTAATAGAGCAGATTTTAAGCATATTTGGCTCATGAGAAGGCCTTGAAGAGCACCTTTCAGAGATGCCTTGTCCCCRCATGCCACTTGGCTCAAGAGCTGATGTTTTCCCTTTAGCTGAGGCTTATTTTTTAAGTTTCCCCTTGGCTTTTTTCTCCCTTTTTTTAATATTACATGACAACTTCCACTGAAAAGCTTTGTTTGAMTCTACAGAAAGGCCACTGTGTTGTCTTTGTGCACTAAATCACAACCCACCTTTTATAAAATCTTGTTCCATTTTATTCCATTTCTCTCCATATACTCTCTTCAAGTATATTTCTCCTCAAAATATGTTCTAAAACCTTGCACCATATGAGAACAAATTACTAAGCCCATAATTGCTCAGATTTTTTYCCTTTCTTCTCAAATTTTTAAAACATCTATGTTTTTTTACAGAATCAAAGCTTGTACAATAACTTTCTGTCTGCCTCTCCCTAACAGTTTTTAGCTCTTTAACCAATTCCATCTACAGTTTGACAGAAGGGCACAGCTCACTGAGATAATTAAGTCCCTGAAAGCTTAATGAAAATGACTGAGCAGGAGGAGAAGGGATCCCAAGTGTGCAGCAGCTCTGCAGCCTGTGAGCAGAGCACTGTGGGGCAAGAGGTGCTCACCAAGGAGCTGAGATAAACACTGGTGAGCAGGAACWGCTTGAGGCGGGGTCTCAGCTCCTCTGACACCAAAGTCCATCAAAAACCCTGGATCTATAGCAARAGAAGATTCATTAATTGCAGAGCCCTTGTAGGGACTTGCTGAAATGTAGGCTTTATCCTGGTTTTTTTCCCCAGGTATGCAATGCTGCTCCAGGGTTTCAGTTATCTTGGCCCATTGGTTTGGCAGTGCTTCACTTTAGCAAGAGTGTTTTGGATCCTGTTTTATGCCAACCAGCCAACATTCCACACCATCTGTACACACCTTCCTGCACCCTTCACAGAAAAGACCAGACATGTTTAGCTCTTTCTCCCCTGTCTTTCTCATCTCTTTCTCTCTGTCCATAATTTATGATTTTAAAGGAGACTTCCACAAGATTGCTAAAGATTTGTCATCTCTACACACACTGCAAACTGTGTTCCCATCCTGTAGCATATTAGGCACAGCAGTGGTTTCTATAAGAGTAATTGAAGCTGTATGGGGAGAGTTATATTCTTATCCAATCATATAAACCCTGGGGGTTTATCAGTTTTTCAACAAGACTGACTGAAGCCAAGAGCAACTTGCTCCAATTTAAAACCCTCCCAGGGAGCCTGTGCCTCCACAGAACACTGCTGGAGCCCTGCTACCAAGTGCTGGGCACAGCTGCCTGGTTCAGGAGGTTTCTGACCCCATCTCTTCCCATGATCAGCAAATGGAWATTCCAATTCTTTGCACATTCCTTCATCATTTCCCTGTATTCCTTCCAGCAGTTTTCCTTCAGTTTTCAGCCTGCTGTGCATTTCTGACACAGTTTCTCTGGTTGCACTTCTTAGCCATTAACTGGTCACACCACAATCCTGTTCAAGTCCCATTTACCATCACCTGGTTATACTGGGGGGGGATCAGCTTTACTGGGGTCCTTGTAYATGGCCTTGGCCATGCCTGTTGTGCACCTGTCAGACAACCAAGCCTCAGCTTGCCCTGTGTTGAGCCTACCAAATTCTGCAGCTTTGCACAGCCTTTCTTCTCCAGCTGCCACGTTAACACAGTGCAGTAAATAAGGTTTGGCCTATGTGCAGCATCTTACACATTTCAAGTGCCTTGCATTAAACATCCACCCCATTGTTCATTGCTCAGGATGGGGGAGCTCACAGCAGGAGAATCGTGTGGTGATTCATGCCAAGCCATGAAGGAAGTAGCAATAGTATTGAWAGTACTTTATTCACATTTACAAATGAAAGAGCAAATGTGTTTTTTATTGATTTCCCCATTTAGTGGAAGATGCTCTTCAAAGTCACTGCAGCTTGGTGCTGAAAGCTTTGACAGATAAAAGCCAAATGGAGCAGGCACTGCTGGAGATGGAGAGGAGACTTGTAGCTGTAAGTGCAGAAATTAATCTTTTATTGTGAATCCTCATTCTGAATTTCTCCCACTTCTTCAAAATACTAACTGAATATTAAATTGCCCTCGAATGTTGGATTATAAAGCAGACTGCTCCTGTTGTAATGAAAGGGGAAAGACATATTAAAATGCTAATTTTAGGCCAGATACTGACAGAGGCTTACCCATGCACTGACTAACAGTGCTGTAAGCTCTGATGAAACCCGGTCAGTAAGAGAAGAGGCCAACAGTGCCTTGTTGTGGCAGGCCATGATGGAGCACTCACTGTTTCCTCACCTGACTGACACATGCCTTTGCTGGAGGAAGTGGTGCAGTGCATGCCTGTGAGGGGAGAGCACCTCGCAGAAGTGCAGCACCTTGTCCCTTCAGCCAGGTGTTTCCCAGRGAGAGAAAAAAAGAGCTGAAAAGAAAACAAGTGGGTGTCAGAGACACAAGAATGAACTGTCAGAGACCTCCTGAACAGGTCTGGTTTCTCCAAAGGCCCTGCTGCAGGAATTGTTTTTGGCAAGGATGTGCCATGCCAGCACATGAGAAAGCAATCYTCCCAGGATAAGGGCACACAGCAAGTTAGGGCGATGCTCAGGCTTCTCACTTTTGTAAGACAGTTTGAGGATATGTATTACACAGGGAGATAAAAATTACTAATCTTTGGGTCAATACCAAACTGACACATGGTACCTAAAACTTTCTTAYTATTGTGTCTTTTTGTGTGTTGTTTACTGCTTCTGCTCTGCTTTCTGCTTCCCCAGAAAGATGTGGAGATTTTGGAYATGAAATCCAGTATCCAGCTGCTGAAGGAGGGCCTAGAGTCATTGCCAGCCCAGCTGAATGACCAGTTCCTGAAAGTGTGTAAAGAACTTGGCTTCCTGAAGCTCTGTAATGCCTCAGCTGTGCAGCACACACCTTTACCTAGTGTCAGCATCCCTGCTCACATGACAGATAAACCTTCCCAGACCTCTCCTGGGCTGTGCCAGCTCTGTGTGCCGGGTGAGGAGCACCCACAGTGGCCATGCTGCCCAGGCAGGGGAGTTCACAGCTGCTCAGGCTGTTCTCATTTCTCCCGTGTGACAGTGGGGCAGCAACATGGACACTGCCCTGAAAGGAATCAGGTCACTGCAGAGGGCATGTCTAAGGGTGACCTAAACCCAGCCTCAGAAGACAAAGCTGGCCCCATTGCTAGAGCAKCCTGTGGCAGAACAAACACCTCTTTGCCAGAGGTGAAATACATCTTGGAGACACAGAGCTGTGCTGCCCGTCCTTGCACGTGCTGGGCTGGCAAACACATTTTGGGGAGCAGTCAGAAGAAACACTATCCTGCACCACTGGAAGAGCCTCTACCAACCCCACTGAGGAAGGCATTCAGGAGAGGCYCTCGAGGGTTTGAACCCCTGACACCAGCACAGCAGCAGCAGCCTCAGATTCGCCACTATTCTGCACAGAAAGCTACACCTGGACAAAGACACAGCAACTGGTCCACAGACCACGAGGTGGAGAAGGAAGTTGTAGGGAACAAAACAAAACATAGTCCAGGAAGGATCCACTGGAAAAAAGCTATAGGAAGAAAGAAAGCATACTCCACTAAGAGGAAAAGCCAGCATTCTAGATGTGCTGACAGTGGGTTGAAGCAGAGGAAGGCAAATGGGATTATTGAGTTGGAAAGCTCCAGAAAAAATTGCCTTCCCAGATACATGGTTGATCTCAATTCRGAAAGCTCTGACCCGTTTTTTGCAGCTCCCCATCAGCAGATCCTCAGCAGTGCACAGCTGGGGCTTACAAAGAGTTTTCCACCAGTGCCACGCTTTGATAAAAGTCTGCAACAACTTTCAAGCCGTAGTAGTCTTGAAATTAAAAACAGAGTGAATGTTTCCAATGTGAAAAGGTGTCTCTTGGATTCCTCTCCTGAAGAGAATGTACTATCCCTGTGTAGCACAACAGGTGTAGAGCAAAYGAGCCCCTTCAGCCTCCCAAGCCCCACAAATTCCAGGAAACCACATCCTGTCAATCCACTGCCTCAGCAGAACACAGCCCGTTGCTCTTTACTGTTTGATTGTGATTCTTCTGATTAAAGGGGYTATTTCATGTTTGGAGCCCTTAGTGCAGGTTTGTCCATTTCAGTTGYAGTTTATTCCTCCAGGTGTGTTACCTGCTTAGTCAGAGGCAAGACTCAGGTCCGGATGCTTGAAAGTGCTATTGCCCAGTTTGAGATAGTGTACGGGAGGACAATGGGGGGTCTGACCAGGGCTATCCCCTTGTTTAAAAAGCCAAAGGAATCTGTATTGCTTTATTTCCCTGCTCCCATGGGCTGCCATGGGCTCCAGTTACCATAGTATTTACACAGCAGAGAAGTATCTGACATTCCCAGGGAGGAGAGGGCTGGCAGAACACAGGCAAGCAGCTCCATCAGATTTGGCACTGAGATCTACTGGAAACTCTTCAAGATAGATCGAYAAAATGCTATCTCTGTGGCCAGAGTCTTCACTCTGTTTCTCATTTGTAGTATCTCCATTGTTTTGTTGTGTAAAAGTTCAGGTTTTTAGTAGAGTAGTATTGTTCTGGTTGATATCAGTAAGGTTCAGATTTGTCTCAGAAGTTGTTTGTGAACTTTGGACAGGACAGGTTTAACTGAGGAAAACCAAATCCCAGCATCTCAGGTTCATCCGCTATTGTACCTCTTCTCCTCACAGGCTGAAATTCCTTGGTTTCAGAGATTACAGGATATTATTTTGTTTCTACTTTGCTTGTCTCTTGTATCTCTTGGCTGATTAAAGAATTCTCCAACATACCCTTTCCAAGGGCAGTGATTCTCAGAGACCAAAGATACAACAGGCAGCTCCAGCAGATGAGATGTTGGACAGTCCAAATTCCCACAGAGAAACTGTTTCCAGGGTACCCAGCTGTGACTATGGGCAGCTCCCACTGCCTCRGGCATTTGTGTCACATTTGATTTTTAATCTGAAATGTTACCAGCAAAAGAAGCATTTGGTGTTGACAAAACCATATTGCCACAAATCCAAATTATCCAGCTCAGTCATCCCAAGGGAAATGGCTGGGATGCCTTTTCTTTTTCTGGCTTTATTAATAAACTCATCTTCACCAAAGTCCAGTGTCTCTATGTTGTTTTTTTGGGAGAAGCAGAGTCCTGTTCCAGCAGGAGAACAGGAGAACAGCTTCTCTTTAGCTGTTTAACTCCCCTGCATTGTGGAATTGGAAGGATTCCTTTTTTAGCTCCTCTCTGGTGTTTAAAGAAGGAAACCTCCATCCTTCCAGGTTAACATTGTGATGATAATTAGCAAGGAGAAGGGGGAAGAGGGGGCAGGTAAGGGGACCCCCAGAATCTTGGGACACCCCTGTTAGAGAAGGGTCTAGTGATGGCTGCCAGCAGCAGTGGCCGTTCATTTCACACTGCCCTCGTGTACCTGCCTCCCAAGCAGCCCCAGAACAGCCTTCGCTGGGCAAAACCTGTTCGGTGGACTCACCATCCCCGCGTTTAGGGATTGGGGAGCACGGACGCAGGTCTCCGTGCGGCCCCTGGACGGGATGCAGGGAGCTAGCAGCACATGGCTGAGCTTGGAGGGACCTCTGGAGGTGTCTGCTGCAAGCCCCTGTGCAGAGGCAGAGCAGGGACTGGCTCCTCAGCACCCCAAGATGGAGCATCAGTGCCGTGGAGAGCAATGCAGGGCTGCCCTGGAGACCCCTGCAGCTCACTGCAACATGCACACTCACACTGGAACACAGCACAAAACAAAATCCCTGGAGATGGAGGTGTAACCACAGCAGCAGCCAGCCACGCCCCCCTGCGGAGGACAACTTCCCTGGTGAATGGGATGAAGCCCTGGGCTGCCATCCTGGGCCCCACAGCCCCACTGCCTGTTCCCACTCAGGGTCTCCTCCAGGGTTTYAGCTGCCAACAAAAGCATTGTCCCTATATGGCAGTGAGGATGGCAGCTCCTCTCCCAGCTTTGCTGGACAAAAATGGAAGCCTGCATGCYGCGTGGCAGCARACTYACCAGACACTCTGCTTGCACCCASYRGAGCCAGTCCTGCCTCCCAGTCCATRCTCCTTGCTGTCTCAGCCATCCCCCAGGTATGTGTGGTTTCTCCTGGCTTTTGCYTCCATGGAGTTGCCAATACCAG